TTAAAAATTTAGTAGCCAAATTGGCTGGTGAGTGAAAAAGTTAATTTCAATCCCTGGCTATGACTTTATCCTTGTTATCTTTACTTTTTTCACAAAATACAACAACCTACAGTATTCTCAAAATATTGCTACTTTAATCTCATATTGCTATGACTTAATTCTCAAAGTATTACAACTTCAGTCTCATATTGCTACAACTAAATTCTCATAATTTAAATTTTATTTTGAAGATATTATTACTTTAATCTCATAATCTTACATTTATTTTTTTATTATATGTGGCACTAAAATATACCATAAATACAGCCATCTCCTTTGAATTTGTTTTTTTTTTACAAATCAGCCACTGCTGCCTAAAAGCATATGTAAATATTTGGACGTTTCTAAAGTTGTTTGCAAGTTTAAAAAAAAATAAAAAATGTGTATGTTTTAGGTGCTATAAATGCATTCATTTGTTTGTTTAAGCATTTATGCAAAAATACATAAAATACATGTATGCTCTAATACCTAAGTTTAGGCATGACATCTTGTTGAGTTGTTCCTTTTTTTTCACTCATGCAAATGGCTTCATCAGTTATCGGATTCTGAACAATTGTTGAAAAATTGTGAACTGGAATGACATTGTTAGCATACTGTTTTCAAACGTTTAATCAGATAGTCTAAAATGTATTTCATTTATTTAAACAGGGCATGTATATTATTTTATCAAGGTCAAAGAATACCAATGGAAGTACTTTTAATTTTGTCATTTTCAAGTCTGTCATTTTTAAGAACTGTTATAACATGTTTTATAATCAAGAGCATAACAGACCAAGAAAGATGAAGAGATAAGGAGAAAAAAAAGTTTTATAAGGAAAGAAAGTACAGTACGTTTACCAGCCTCTGCTGTTCCTGGAACAATGAGATTTGATCTTTTCCTTCAGGCAGTTTCTGTTTGTTCAACATGTGCACATTTTAACATGTACAGTTGCTGTGTTATCAGGAAATGAATTTTTCCTTGAAAAAGTATGTGTGTGAGAGAGAGAGAGAGAGAGAGAGAGAGAGAGAGAGAGAGTTAAAACAGGATTTTTTCTTTTACCATTTACAAATAGCTTCTGGCCCCTTGTTGATCATTTTACACAGGAATTTCATTAATACTATTTCCCATGCATATATCCAGGAGAGATGTGTTATTACTTGGACAGTCAATGGTTTGCTTGTCACATGGCAAAACCAGCTGAAACATTTATGCAAAACACCAAAAAGCTTGTATATCTACCTTGCTACATAGGCTTTTTGCACAAGGTGGATATACAAGCTTTTTGGTGTTACAGAGAATCAATAAGCCTACACACAACCATAGGAACCATTAGAATATTCTGTCACCATGGACCAGCTTGGGATGCTGGTGCTGTTATGTTGGTCCACAGCATGGGATGCTGGCATGCTAGATGACCAGCATATGTCGTCCTTTGGATTCTGCTATAATCCCAGCAAGACCACAACAAATATTGCGTGTACAAAAGTTGTTGAAGACTGTTTGAAGTCACCTTTATGGTGATTACTGTTCATGTTAGATGGGCACTTGGCCCTTGACTTTGGTTAAATCGGCAACTGTTGAAAGTGCATGTTGTCATTACTGTCTACAACATGATCCTCCTGACTGCAATGGCATTATTTTCACTATGTGCTTTATTCTTCTTAGTTTACAACATGGGTGTCAAACTCAATTACTGGAGGGCCGGAGCCCTACAGAGTTTTGTTTCAACCCTGCTCCAACACTCATACCATGTAGTTTTCAAATAAGCGTGAAGGACTTGATTAGTTGGATCAGGTGTGTTTAATCAGGGTTGAATCTAAACTCTGAAGGGCTCCAGCCCTCCAGAAATTGAGTTTGACATCCCTGGTTTACAATTTTTGGGGTTAGGCTGCTAGCTGGATTTTGACATGTCAAACATGTTTGAAACATGTTAATTGTTGAAGAGATGTATTGAAATCATTGTCTTACTAATTGCATTACTTTTGATCTGCATGGGGAAAAAATATAAACATTATGTCATTAACTTAATTATAAATGTGAAAATACATTGTAAGATTAATTCATTAATTAGCTTCCCTTACTTCTTTGGGAAACTAAGGGAAGCTCACTTGTCTCCCCACATCCTGCTGAACTTCTTTCGCTGTAATATTGAAAGTATTCTTACAAACTGCATCACAGTGTGGTATGGCAACTGCACTGTCTCAGACTAGAAGGCCCTCCAGTAGGTGGTGAAAACTGCCCAATACATCACTGATGTTGGACTACCTTCTATCAATGACATTCACCACAAACGCTGCCTAAGGAGAATGTCACCCCAGTCACCCCAACCATAGACTGCTCACTACTCTCCCATCTGGGAGACGTTATAGGAGTCTTCGTTGTTGTACCAGCAGACTCAGGAATAGTTTTTTTCCCTCAGCTGTCAGCCTACTGAACTCTAATCTCTGGCTACGTTTACACTAGTGCATTTTCATTTTAAAATGCATAACTTTTGCTACGATTACGCCTGTTGTTTACACTACCCCAGCATTTTCGACCCTTGAAAAGGGAGACTTTCGAAAACGCTGCAGACCCCGTTTTAGTTTGAAAACTCAGAAGTTGCGTTTCAGTGTAGGAAGTAGGTGTAGTTTAAGCGCCTGTAAGAATATGCTAGTATCGCGAAAACCAACGTTTGTTTACAGGAGCAAAGGAAGCAAAGTTTCCTTACTTTAGCAAAGGTAAACCAGTCTCTTCTTGGCTTATATCGACATTTTTCTTTACAAATCCTCATTTTGTACTTCTAATTCTTAAACAGTGTTTTGTTTTGTTCTCTCCTCTCTGCTTCCGCGCTCATAACTTCTCACTGGCGCATGCGTTACGCCTACATCCTACGCCCGGAACAGCTTTCACATACGACAGTTAGCGCAAGCTACAGAAGACTGGTTATAACGTTTTAAATATGGATATATGTTCCTTACAAGAACGTATTGATTCGCTACAGGAGGCCTTTTTTCACCCCACAGAGCCGTGTGAGGCACTTTTTATTAAGGATGGATGCACTTTATTGGACTTATTTTGGACTGTTGAACAGAAACTCCCGCCCACTGCCTTTATAAAGCTTGGAAGAGCCAGGACAATTTTTAATATAACTCAGATTGGATTAATCTGAAATAAGAATGTCATATGGCTTGAGGGTGAGTAAATCATGGGCTAATTTAAATTTTTGGGTGAACTATACCTTTAAAGTAGTGCTAAAATGCACAGCGCTGCTTTGTGTACAGCAGTAACCAAGTAAACGCTGCTGTTCCATAAGCAAATTTTGAAATTATACAATCTAATTTAAATCAAACATTGCACATGCTACAAGTGTGTATAATGTTTTTTGTTTGTTTGTTGTTGTTTTTTGGATCGATTCATGATAATGGCTATGAAAAATCAAGGTGCAACACAGTGAAGAATATGCAATGTTATTTTACATGTGATAATTCAATTTCTGTACCTGCAAACATAAAATCCTAAATCATTTCATTTGTATCTTTGTTCTAAATATTCAGTGGTGTTATTGCTTGTAATTTGTTCATTTGTTCTTATTTACTGACTGTTCACTTGTCTTTAATAATGATTGAACTTTATTTTTGTCAGGCTAGTAGTTTTGGCTAAAATTGAAATCGAGAATTGTAAAATTTAATTTGTATCTAAAATATTGGTGTCATATAAGCTTATTTATTAGAATACAAGATAACATAGATCAAAAACAATGATAAAGGTCAACTATTTTATTTTATTTATTTATTTATTTATTTTTTGTGGCAGGGCCAGTGCAAATGATGGCAGGGCAAGTAATAATTTGAACCACTGGCCCGACTGGGCCAGTAGAAAAAATCCTTAGCGTTGAGCCCTGCAAATATTCAGTGTTGGGAAGGTTACTATAGAAGTGTAATAGGTTACAAATTACAAGTCACCAAAAAAGTGTTTCATGCCGCATGATTGCATCAAGAAAGTTTCCAGTTGAAAGAGAGTCTATTACTGCAGCTGGCCTTTCTCTTTCTCTCTCATGCACACTCAGATTCCATACAGTCAGACGTTTCCGTAATTTCCGTGAATGTTTCCAGGCACAGACAGGGGCCCATTTGTATGCAGCAAGTTCAGAGCTGTGTCCCGTTTAACCATTTAACTGTGTGTATGTGCATGACTGAAGTCAGAAATAACTAAAAGTATTACAGCATTCCCATCAATTTAGAGACATGTATATGGATTGAATTATTTGTTTGAATTTGCTACATATACAGCAGCAGTTTTACATAATTCAAACTCCAAGGAATGTCTCATTCATAATTGCTGACCAGCCATAAGATATCTTATGCAATGCAGATGAAATGAAAATGCACACATGCACACATTTGCTACACCTGACTGAAAACATACTTCTACTGTTTTCATTTTCTTTAATTGCATATGATAGGGCTAAGCAGGATGAAGTAGAAATGTGTAAACCAGTAGATATGTTGTTTCTACAGCAGTACATATATTTGCACAAAAACATGTAATAATAGGAACATACAGAGTGTCTCTAACAAGCCGAGATTATTAAGAGATGAGCAATGTTGCAGCTTGTGGCTTGAATTAAATTTGTGGTCACATGTGAGTGTATGGCTTTAAACGTGACTCATACAATCAGAATTTGACTCACCTGATCCACCAAAACAACACTATTCTTCTCTCACAGGGTTAGCTAGCCTGTGACTTCATTAAGTCTATGCAGACTCATATGACATAAAATCAGTGGATCCTACACTATCTCATCTCTCATTATATCTTCTTCTCTGGTCAAACATCTGGTGAAATTCATTCTTACTTTCTTTTTCATAAAAACAAATGTGAGCAAAAGCCTAAATTAAATCTATTCATTATATAAAGGCATTGTGTCTTTTCGGAAGACTTGAATTAAACTGCTTGACTCACATGGAGTTTTGGGTGAACAGACTCAATAGACTCAACAAATCTCTTCAGATTTCATTAAAACTATCTTCATTTGTGTTCCTTGGATGAACGTTAGTCTTTCAGTTTTGAAATGACATAAGGGTGAGTAAATGATGACAGAATTTTTATTTTGGGGTAAATTAACCCTTTAAACTGTGTGCCAAAGTGATTGAATGAGAATGTTTTCATTTGTTTGTCTCATTTCATAACAAACTTTTTTTATTAATATTATTATTTTCAACATAATGCCAGTTTAATAATAATAGTTTTGACAGATGCCAGTTCTAATAATAGTTTTATAGACAGATAATAGACTTTAGCAAGCATGAGCAATTGCCATGCTTAAGCAGACTGTTGCAACTGTGGTAAACATATACGGCTCTGGGGTCTCGTTTATAAAATACTGCGTAGAAAGAATCCTAAATTTGATTTTACGATAATTTCTCAACGTGCGTACGTGTGATTCATAGAACGAACGTACGCACAGAAAACGTGCGTACACCTCTCTTTTAGATGTGAAATCTATCAATTGCAATGATCTTGAAATTGTGCGCAGCTGAACAGTTTCAGATCTCCGCCCTGTAAACAATGTCTAATTAATGTCCTTTAAAAGAGCACCTGACACTGTCAAAATCTTTTACAAGCGGCAAGAATGGCTTATATTTTCAAAAACCTGCAGCACTCGGACAAACAAAAGTGCGTACGTCTGCTCAGACCCTGACGTTTGCGTACGCACACTCTACGATCAAATCTGTGCGTACAGATTTGCGTTTTATAAATGAGGCCCCAGGTCACTTTTACAGTGCTGGCCATCTTGAGCATCACGTCAGACATTGCATGGAGGAGAGCGTGAATACGGTGCGATGAAGTTCGCCAATCACAGCACTAGCCATTTACTTTGCATTTTTGAAAGAGGTAACGCCCCTTGAAACCTCCAGAAACCTAATATAAAGAACTGAAAATGCATTTCATGACCCCTTTAAAATTTAGAATTTTGAAATATATTTGTAATTCTTGTGATTTGGTCATATTCAAAGTGAAACAAGTGAAACTGTGCAGTTGTTTCACCTATTTCTACGTGATCTTACCGTTCAAATGACTTTCATTTGTCTAACCTAAAAACGGATAAATTAGATGCACCACATAAAGCGCATATCAGGTTACCAGACAAAATATTATAGTGTAGACCCGTGAAGCATTCGTGAGTGCCTTAAGGCAGATGATAGGCATCTATAGAACGGAGTATGACCCTTTATTATGGAAAAATCCCTCTGCTGTCCAGAGTTGCGCTATAGACGTGCTGCAGTCGCTTCCCATTTTTTTCTGTATGTGTAGATACGTCCTTTAGCGCAACGCTTTCCTCAATGCAACGAAACTAAAATAAACAGTAACATATATGTCTAATCAATCATTTTCATCTGAACATTTACGCTTCATGAGAGACGTCAAGTCGAAAGAGTTTACTGCGCAGCTGTCATGGTCATGAACCATCTTATTACACTCGCGCGCGTATACACACGCGTATTTTCATTAATATTTAACAGTGTTCTCAGAGATGAGTAAATAAAACATTCTTACCTGTGAGATTGTCCTTTGTTGCAGTTCAGTCGTTGGCGTCGTTCATTCATTTGTCATTTGTATTTCCTTCAGAAATTCTGCCCGTGGAGACATTGCGACACAGAATACAGAGCCTATGCTCGTTCGTTCTTGAGCAAGAGAGAGAGAGAGAGAGAGAGAGACCTATTCTACCGGCACCTACCTATTCTATAGCTATACTTATAGCCTAACAAAGTATCAAACTATATAAAACTGTGTAAACTTTATGTGTATGTACTAATGAGGTCAGACTGAATCATCAGTTGCAAAGGCAACTAGATGTTTACTTTTTCTTTCTTTTTTTCTTTTTCTTTTTTGAAGAAAATATTAGTGCATTTATTTGCAATCAAAATTATTCAACCCCCTTGACCTGCAAGACATTCTGCAGCTGTGAACAAAACTTTAAGAAAACAATTCAACCAAAACATAAGTAAACTTTTATAGAAAGTAATTAATAAACATTTGAGTAATTCTGAGCACATAAAGTTGATAAAAAAATTTAAAGAAAGAAAGAAAAAAAAATTTTGCTCTAATTGGTTTAACCAACCACCCCACAAGTCAAATTTTGTAGAAAATCTTTTATAGTTCTTTAAAACCTATGACATTGCTTCTGAGACCTGTCTATTGGGATCTTGCCACACTCCTTGCTTGAAAAAGCTTCCAGATCACTCATAATCTTTGGTTTTCATGTTGCCACTGCTCAAATCACACTAAAGATTTTTAATGAGATTTAAATCTGAAGACTGAACAGACGACTCAAGAACATTTTAGGACCAATCTCTGAACCAAACGTAAGTAGATTTGGATGTATTTGGGATGATTTTCCTGCTGGAACGTCCAGTGATCATCAAGTTCACTCTATGCTCCGAAGGCATCACAATCTTTGCCAAAATGGCGCCTGATACATTAAAGAATCCATGATGTCCTTCATACAGTCAAGATTTCCACTTCATGCAACAGCAAATACCCAATAATAAGATTGGTCCACTTTCATGTTTGACTGTGGTTATGGTGTTCTTCTGCTCATAAGACCTGCCCTTTTTGTACCAGATATGATCCATGAGTCCAATAAGTTCCAGTTTGGTCACATCACTCATAAAACATCCAGAATATCCACCGGTCTAGCCCTTTATGATATTGTGCTTTTTCTTCAACTGCCTCAAAGATTTTCTGATACAAAACATTTTGATAGGGAGCTCTTTTGACTTGACTATATTTGCTACTCAGTTTTAGCATATGTATGCATTGAATTCATTTATTATGTGCAACAGTGAATTAGGTTTTGTTAAAGTGTTTCCAAAAGCTTAATTGTGCTGTAACACAATTTTGTACCGTACCATACAAATAAGTCACTTGAAAACAGCTATGTTGAATAGGGGTTGAATAATAAAAAAAAAAGTAAATACATAAATTTAAAAAATCCTTTAACTCAAAATTGTTACATTATGTATTGACATTGTCATTTTTAATATGCCACTAATCTGTTGATGCATTTTTTATTATTATTATTATTCTGGATCTGCTTACATTTGTAAACTATTAAAGTCTCTAGTGGGTTGAATGGTTGAATAATTTTGATTTCAGTTTTACATATGGGTAAACATGTCAGACAGATTATATCAGGAACATAAGTATGATGCTAATTCTTTGCCAGTAAACAGGATTACAGTAATCTGGCAAGGACATTTACTTTCCGTCTCCTTTACGGCCAGTAGACAAGACTCTGCCACCATCAGGGCAGTCCATGGTCCATTTTAGACACAAGAGTTATGTGACCTATGCATGTAGCATGTTTTAAGCACTGGAACATGTGCCCTCAATAGACACTGTAAAAAAAATGTTGGTCCGCTTTAGACTTTCTAACTATAACTTTGCAAGGACATGTCAATTGTCAATTCTACTAACCCTAATCCTATCTTAAATGTCTACTAATACTCTGAGAGTTAACAACATGCAGTTGCACATTAATGAGTTACTTGATGTGTAGTGTCAAAGTCACTTATAGTTAGCAGAATGTCTGAAGTAGACTACTGAAATAAAGTGTAACCAAAATGTTTTGTAATTTTTACAGAATTGGACATTTCAGAGACTCCTGAGCTTTCGGGAAAAGCTCTATCCTGTGCAGACAAGGGAGGTCTGTGATGGGAATTTCCAAAAACCTCTCCTCTAACTTACACTGGTCTGCTTCTTCAGGTCGCACTTTCCTGGGGCAATGAAAGACATTCTCTGCAGGCTTGGGTGTATTCTGTTGCGGCTGGAAATTTTATGGATGTTTTATTAGCCAAGAAGCTCCACCTCTCTTTGAGTCCCTTGGTTGTTACCGCCCTGGATGGGTGACCTTTGGGCAAAGGAGAAATCGTTCACCAAACACTTCCACTATGTCTCTCATTCTTCAACACTGCCATGCAACATGCATCTTCTCGTGTTCCCTAATTGCCTTCTTAAGAATCCCTCAACCTCTCTTGAGTGTCCCCCGTGTATCATCCTTACTGTTATGTATTTAATGTTCGGAACTGGGTAATCCTGCAATTGTTGTATTATGCTCTAGATGCTGCTGTGTGACATATACCGTACTGACCCGAATATAAGACAATGTTTTTTTCTTGGAAATACATCTGAAAAAACGCGGTCGTCTTATATTCAGGGTCTAGACTTTGACATGTCAATAATACACCACAACAATAGGTGACGCCAAATACGCATAAAACGAGTGTGCCATGAAATACGTAATGTAATGCGTGTTGTAAAAAACATTTCAGTTACATGAGTCGTGATTGTCACGTTAGCCTGGTGGGACCAAACTCCCTTTGTGATTTTAAAACGTAAGACAGTACCCAGATTTGAAGACTACTGTAAGATTTAACTTCTACTGTTAATAAGATTTTGGTAGGCTACTATTAGATGGATAGCCTAAATGTCCTAATTCAGATGGGCTACCTGTTTTTTTTTTTTTATGGTATATCAAAAAGTGTATATTTTTTAAATGTGATTGTTGGTACATTTGACCAGTTTTTACCATACTTTCAAAACAAAAATTAAAATAGTAAAAATATGCATTATGACAATAATTGAATACAAAATGTGTTTTACTGAGAAAAATCTAGATATGGTTTTTAAAAAGCTTTTATCCAAAAGGTACATCTGGAAAAATGGAGGTCGTCTTATAATCAGGGTCGTCTTATATTCGGGCCAATACGGTATATACCTTTGAACAGTTGCTAAGTAAAGAAAGTTCAAGATGTTAGGTGCACTCAGCCTCCATTGTGTCTTTGCTGTATAGCTCCATAGAATATAATGACATTCTGATATATACGACAAAATTGGTGACGAGGAGTGGAAATATTGACTTTAACTCTGTACTGGTGCAGACTGATATAAACCAGCATACTTAAATGACGGAAATGAGTGCACATCGTTTGATCATATCGTGCACATTGTTGAAAATGCTAACGACAATCAAGCGGGTGTCAAATCAAGATAATCCACAAATAGAATGGCAACTATCGGGCATATTGATGCTATTGAAGAGACCATCGAGCAGTGGACAACATATATTGAACAGTTTGATCACTTCACAAAGGCGAATTATATCGATGAATAAAAACGAATACCAGTGTTGTTAAGCGTTATGGGCACTAAAATGTACAGTCTTCTACATAACGTGATTGCACCTGCTAAACCAGGAGAATAGGCTTATCAGGAGATTGTTACGACGTTAATGGAACATTTTTCACCAAAGCCATTCATAATAGAAAAATTATTCTGTTTCCACAAACGCAATCAAGAGGATAGGTATGTAGCAGTTTTAAAACAACTCTCTGAACATTGTGACTTCGGTACACACTTGGAAGATGCTCTAAGGCAGGGGTTGTCAACCTTTTAGGACATGCACCCCCCCAAGTTTGTCTAATTTCACTCGTGCTAGAGATGACCTCTAGAGCCCTGAATGTCAGCGGTGATCAGGACATCTAGATGAGCCCCAGACACAGATCCCCAGTAAAGACCTTGTCTCCTAGACGGCCACCGGGACAAGACCACAGGAACCAGTTGAGTCCTCTGCTCAATGTGACTTTGCTGCAGCCTTGAATTGAACTGCTGGTTTCGTCTGGCCAGAGGAGAGCTGGCCCCCCGACTGAGCCTGGTTTCTCCCATGGTTTTTTCTCCATTCTGTCACCGATGGAGTTTTGGTTCCTTGCCACTGTCGCCTCTGGCTTGCTTAGTTGGGGACACTTAATTTCCAGCGATATCGTCGACTTGATTGCACAGATACTATTTAAACTGAACTGAGCTGGATGATGACATCACTGAATTCAATGATGAACTGACTTTATCTGAAAATTGAGTGTTTACTATTGTCATTTTGCATTAATGACACACTATTTTCCTAATTAATGCTGTACAGTTGCTTTGACACAATCTGTATTGTTAAAGACGCTATATAAATAAAGGTGACTTGACTTGACTTGACTACTTTTGACAACACTACTACAAACAAAGCCTGAATGAAGAAAAGTTCAATTTGAATGTTTGTTTTAATTACTTATAAGAGATACACATTTGTTTCTATAAAAAGTAAGCTTCCATACTTTTCTATAGTGCGTAGGAACCCTGAGAATGTGTTGTCTCAGAGGCAAGTGGTGTTTTGTAAATAATATGAAGTGAATACAAATGTGAAGAAAGCACCCAAAAAACAGCTGTATAGTGTAACATGGAGGCCAGTCAAATATTTTTACCAGTATTTATATTGCACATAATTTATAGCCAGAGGGGGAAAATCATGATAGGCCACGTCATCAAGCTTACAGAGGAGAGTCCCGAGAGTCTGACACAGTCTGTCGACCATGCCCTGAATCCGTGAGATGTGATTATTCAAGCTACAGATGAATGAGAAAAGACACTCCACGGGGTCTTGATGCAACAAACGCACTCCTGAGATGTTCAAACAGAACAGTTTTGTATTAAGAAGCACAGTTCAAAAGACCCTTACTTTTGTATCGTTAAAGGTGACCTCAGTATATTTTGGTTCATGTTGCACTTGGAAATATGTCAGTTGTCTAAAATCTATATTGACACCTAGCAACATTAATGCAGACTCATGCAGAAGCGAAAGTTTTCAGTTACGCATGTTATTGTAATATAGAGATGCAGTCAGCCATGATTAATCTGTTTCTCTAAAGTATGTTGCAGTGAATTTACATATTTTAAAAATTATTATTCAGTTCTATGTGTAAATCTTCTTTCAATGAGAAAAAAATCACACATTAAAACCATACAAAGATCAGTGGGTGTCAAAGTGGTGGGCTGGACAAAGTACTAATTATAGGGGGTCCAAATACAGTTGCAATCAAAATTATTCAACCCCCTAGACCTGCCAGACATTTGGCTGCCGAGAACAAAATGTTATGAAAACAAGTCAACAAAGGCATCGGTAAAGTATTTGAGAAAGTTTATTAATACTCATTTGAGTGATTCTGAGAATGTAAAGTTGATGAATAATGAAAAAAAAAATCTAAATTATTCAATCCCCAAATGTAAAATGTAGTACAGAATCTTTTATTCTTTATAACCTCCATTAAATGCTGCTTGAGAGTGCTTAGAAACTTCTGTCACCTCTCTACTGCAGCATTGGCTTGCTTGAAAAAGTTTTGGTACAACACATTTTAAGCTTAGGAATAAGACTGCCAGCTGTGCCTCTAGGAACTTTATTCCTTGGAAAACTTCATGTAGCCTTAGAATTTCTAATATAATAAAACTGTTTCTTCTCTAAATATAATAAAACTTTTGAAAGAGCTCCATTGATTTTGCCGTATTTGCTACTCAGCTTTAGCACATGCATGTTTATATACAGTAGGTATAGAAAAGAATCACCCCCTTTAAAATAAGCACATTTTGTTGCCTGAAATGAAGACGGACACAGTTTTTGTTTTATCCAGCTGTATTTACTCTGTGCAACTTATAGCATCCAAATGAAATATATAACACCAACATGTCAGAAAAAATTTAAATAAATAAATAAAAAACAGAATCACTGCGTTGGAAAACAGATCACCCCCCTCCTAAAAATGACTTGTAAAAAAGTTGTAGCTAATCACCTTCTCAATGGCACAAAAAGCCATTTGACTTTCAACTGTGATCGGCTGTGCTAATTTTGATTAGCTCAGCATAAAAAGAGTTTTCCTGGAGCATTTCAGTCCTTGGTAGTGCAACTGAAGCAAACAATCAACTATGGGTGGCAAAGCACTGTCAAAAGATCTCAGGGATAAAGTCAATACCCACTTTTTCTATACCCACTGTATATGTAACAGCTCAAGCGAATTCTGTTTTCTAATAGAGTCTGATCGTGTTTTAAAACAATTTTGTTCCCTACCATAAAAATAAGGGACCAACAGGGGATGAATAATTATGACATAGCTGTGTTATTAATAAATCCTATAACTCAGAAATATTACATTATATATTGACATTATCACTTTTAATATGCCAGTAAAACTTTATAGATGCATTTTTTAAATAAAATTCGGGATCTTCAGAAAAGCTTGTATTTGTAAAGTACTACAGTCTCTCTCTGGGGTTGAACACAGTTTTTGTTTTATCCAGCTGTATTTACTCTGTGCAACTTATAGCATCCAAATGAAATATATAACACCAACATGTCAGAAAAAATTTAAATAAATAAATAAAAAACAGAATCACTGCGTTGGAAAACAGATCACCCCCCTCCTAAAAATGACTTGTAAAAAAGTTGTAGCTAATCACCTTCTCAATGGCACAAAAAGCCATTTGACTTTCAACTGTGATCGGCTGTGCTAATTTTGATTAGCTCAGCATAAAAAGAGTTTTCCTGGAGCATTTCAGTCCTTGGTAGTGCAACTGAAGCAAACAATCAACTATGGGTGGCAAAGCACTGTCAAAAGATCTCAGGGATAAAGTCAATACCCACTTTTTCTATACCCACTGTATATGTAACAGCTCAAGCGAATTCTGTTTTCTAATAGAGTCTGATCGTGTTTTAAAACAATTTTGTTCCCTACCATAAAAATAAGGGACCAACAGGGGATGAATAATTATGACATAGCTGTGTTATTAATAAATCCTATAACTCAGAAATATTACATTATATATTGACATTATCACTTTTAATATGCCAGTAAAACTTTATAGATGCATTTTTTAAATAAAATTCGGGATCTTCAGAAAAGCTTGTATTTGTAAAGTACTACAGTCTCTCTCTGGGGTTGAATAATTTTGATCGCAACTGTATATTGTGGCACACATATATTGAGAAAAAAAAACTGTTTGTGAATTTTTTTTCCAATTATTTGACTTAAACTCAACAAAGACTATATTTTGACTAAAAGAGTAGAGAGGAAAAAAGAGAAACTCTTACCAAGGGTTGTCAACGTTAGGCAAAGGCAAAATATATGCTTTCAGTTCTATGGGAAAAAGCACCATGAAAATTCAAGCAAACACTGCATTAGCAGAAAATCATATGATGTGAAAAACATCTGAAAAAAAATTCATTTTTGGATGTTTGCTGTATGTTTGAAGTGTGGATCCACGGTGCTCCAGTCGCTGTAGAGATCCCCTAATTTAACACCAAACTGGAAATAGTCCCTCAGAAGTTCCCCCTCTTTGTTGTCAGGCTCTGATATCACTGTGCACAATCCCACCTCTTCCTGCTTCATGTCAATCTTTCTTCTTGACATCTTCCCCAATAACTGCTCCTCATCTTCCACCTTCCATTTCTGTCTGTTTTCTGTTCCTGGATTTATTTGATGACTGTAAACATAGTACCACAATGTATCCTCTGTTTGAGTTAGTGTCCACACTTTTCCTCGCATTACTCCCGTCCAGTGACCATCTGCAGTCTCACACCATCTAAAATGATGGGCAATATGGTCATACAATGAAAAAAAACAAAAAAACACAGAAGTTCATATGCATTAGCAAAAAAAAAAAACACAGTTTATTTCTAAGACTTTGTTCAGAATTGATTACTAGTTTACTACTTACACAATACTGCACAGTGCAACTGTATATAGCTGCTTACTGCTTTTTTTTTAAAATACCGCCCATATTTTCATATCAGTACTTCAGTATTTAGCAGCTTGGTGGGGGTGTTAATTATTTCACATGTGAAGAGGTGGGCCAGTCTTAACAGTCATTTACACACAGACATATTAAAGGTACAGTATCAAAAACAGCCTGTTTAATTCTGATGGTTAGAGAGTGTGTAAAATTTAAATTACGACTGACTCTGGAGAAAGAGACAATGACAAACATTATAAATGGACATCAGTGAGTTAATAAAACGCAACAAGAACACATGGTGCCCCCTTTAAAAAAAGTTTATTTTGAACACAGCAATGAAACAGTAGTTTATAGTTTACCGGAAAGTCTGTCCACATCCCAGAGTGAGATGCAGCCGAAGCTCTGACCGGGGACATGAAAGTGACCGCCATGCCTTACAACAGAGCAGAGCATGCTGGGACATTATATAGCTCTGTTCCTTACACCATCAGAACAAATCAAGTCAGCTACTGTGATAACAAAAATACATTAAAGGAAAGAAATAATAAAATTAACTAAAGCAGATTAAAATTTATTGCATGAAAACACACACACACACACATATGGTTTGCACATAAGAAAAGTTCAAATGAATGAGGTCTGTAGCTTACAAAGTGAAACATGCAAGACATGCCAGTATACTTAAAAATGTCATTGTGCACAGGGCCGGATTTATGCATAGGCATTCTAGGCATGTGCCTATGCTCACTCGTCCAGGGGGGCCCAAACACAATGAAGAGGCAATATAATATTTTTGTTATAGCCTACTATGGGCTATCTACAACAGTAAAAGAACCAAAAAAACAGAAGACATTGAGCAAATAAATATAACAAACAATAGGGTAAAAAATGACAAACTATTTCCATGTTTTCCACTATTTTATGTACAGAAATCACACTTTCTTTCTCCCGTTCTCTCTCACAGTACTCGAGCACAATAACTGCGGTAGACTGCATTAATAACTGCATTTAGCCTGCATATCAATGGCTCAAGCCTCTGTTATTAGCTCTAAAATTACGTTTTGGAATTTGCAACAGAAGGTTTGGGATGAGGTGCGTAAGAAATTAGTTCAACACACACGAGATTTCAGGACGGAAACATGACAAATGTCTTAAAATAAAATAAATAATCTAAACAATGTCTTGAGGTGTGGTTGTATAGGCTGTTAAAATTATTAGAGAAATAATGCACTCCCGAAGTGGTAATGTGGCCACGACGCCGGAGCCTATTAATGGAACGTCTTTCTCCGTTCTCAAACAAATTACATTAGATCTTTATTGACTGAACGCAAGCGCTTAGTGTGATAGAAAACACTGTAATGGTTTCCACTGATTACAAAATATTTTTGTTTGCTGGGGTGGTAATATATTAAATAGGGAAGGGGGCCCAATGCACAATCTTTCAAGGGACACTCTACGGCTCAGTAAGAGAAATCCTCCATCAAGGTGCATTCAAATCTCAATTTGTTTGTTTTCATACCAGCCAATACGAGCTCTGAATCTAACAATACCAAGTATTGGTATCTGAGATAGAAGTCGAAATCGCCCTACTAGGCCCTAATAAATAACGATAATTGGTTCATTCTTCTTCTTCTTCTTTGGATGTTTTATGGCGGTTGGCAAACCAGCTTAGATGGTGCATAAGGCGTATTGCTGCCTTCCTCACTTCATTTGAAGAACTCCGCTTAGTGGAGTCGGTGTAAAAATGTTAATAACAGCTAAGAATCTATTTTAAAGTGTTTTAAAGTGATTTATTGGTCCATCCTGATCAGTCCTGGAAAGTATGAGGTACCATGTGCAGCAGCGGCAGAAGCCGATGTAAAGGTGAACTATAGAATATTTGCAAACAATAAAAAATAAAACATAATGCGGCTACTAGGACACTACGGAGGAGACAAGACAGTTTATCACTTCTCTAAAAATGTTCATATATGTGACATTTTATAGTGTTTTCAGCAATAAAAAATAGCATCTGGATAGTCTGGATCTTAATTTACATTTTCTGAATAACAATACTGAGATACTTTAAAATACACAGTAAAGAATTAAAATTATCAATTTAAATCCTTCGTACAGGGCCAAATAGAAAGAATGTCTGGGCTGCGATTTCCCTAATTGTCTATAGGACAATTCTACTTTTAATCCGAGCGTTCTAAAAATGTTCTAAAAACGTTCAAGAGTTTAACTTAACAATCCCTCTTTAAAATAAGTGTGTCCCAAAGCATAGTATGTTGAAAAGAGTATGCCAGAAGTCCCTGGATGGTCTAGTATTTCAGGTAGATTTTTGAAGTGTGGATCCGTGCTCACTCTAATGCAGGGCTGTCCAAACTCAGTCCTGGAGGGCCGGTGTCTTGCAGAGTTTAGCTCCAACCCTAATTAAACACACCTGAGCCAGCTAATCAAGCTCTTACTAGGCATAGAAACTTCCAGCAGGTGTGTTGAGGCAAGTTGGAGCTAAACTCTGCAGGACACCGGCCCTCCAGGACCGAGTTTGGACAGCCCTGCTCTAATGGCTAATATTACCCACAATCCATTGCGCTTTGACAAATGATCCAGTTCAGAACTACAAACACGAATAAAAAATGTAAAAAAAAACTACAAACATGGTGGATGTGCGTGACCGTCGGTTAAAGCGATTGTTCACCCAAAAATGAAAATTAACCCATTATCTACTCACCCTCAACCCATCCTAGGCATATATGACTTCCTTCTTTCAGATGAATCCAATCGGAGTTATATTAAAAATTTACTTTGATCTTCCAAGCTGTTTAATGGCAGTCAGCGGGTGTTGCAGTTCATCAGTCCAAAAGAAGTGAAATAAAGCACATGCATCCATAATAAAAAGTGCCTCACACGGCTCTGGGGGGAGAACAAAGGCATGCACAATGCCGACGTCTTATATCATCCGCCCGGAGCTGCTTCCATGTAAAACAGTGAGTGCAAGCTAGATTAAAGTGATTATTACGTTTTAAATATGGTTATTTTTCTTACAAAAACGCATCGATTCGCTACAGAAGGCCTTTGTTCACCCCCCGGAGCCATGTGAGGTACTTTTTATTATGGATGCATGTGCTTTATTTCACTTCTTTTGGACTGATGCACTGCAACACCCGCTGACTGCCATTAAACAGCTTGGAAGATCAAAGACAATTTTTTATATATCTCCGACTGGATTCGTCTGAAAGAAGAAAGTCATATACACCTAGGATGCCTCGGGGGTGAGTAATTCATGGGCTAATTTTCATTTTTGGGTGAACTAACACTTAAAGTAGAGAGGTTTAGATAGAGGGGTTTGAATTATTAATAATCAACATTTAACCTGTTAAAAATGTTTATTTAATGTTATCTGTGTTGTATTTCATCTACAAAAACAATGTGAACTTTTATAAACATCCGTTTGGCCATAAACTTTTAAATGCAGTATCATTATGCAAAAAATATGAGCAGACCCACAGCTGACAGTTCAAAGTGCTACATCTTTTCTCTCTAATGCGGTAGGAAGTTATATTAAATGAAATGTGGAGGATATAAACTGTGACAAGATGATTGACAGGCCAGTTTACAGTGACAGGATGCGTGTAATTGTGCGACAGAGCATCCGTTAAAGACCCAATTGTATGACGTGATAGTATGTCCCAAAGCTTGCCTACTCTTCTACTACACACTCAAAAGTGTGTACTTTTTCTTCACCATAAAAGTACATACTTTATAAGTATAAGTAGGCATATTGGGACGTAGCATGTGTATTTTTTTTCTTTTTTCAAAGGTCCCTTTAGAGGTTCTGTACTCGACTCATGCAACTATGGCTGTGTTCGAAATGGCATAATTGCTTGCTTACTGCCCAGTACACAGTGTATACTGCCCACTATTTTTTAAAGAATAGTGTGTGAAACAGTATACAATAAGCAACAAATGTTTCTCAACAATTACTCAACAAATGAGTAGTATGCTAAAGTGTTGTCACATGACAAAACATTAATTCAGCACAGCTGCTGAGGTTGTTACCTCACAAATAAATGTGCTAACCATTCTTTAAACAAAGGCTTGTTAATTAAATGTGTATGTATATATATATATATATATATATATATATATATATATAATTTAATCTCTTTATTTTTAAAATGTGTATAGGTAATATTTATAACATTTTAGTTTTGGATCTGTTTTTAGTTGTTTTAATACTACAATTGATTGCTTCTGTTGTCCTCATTTGTAAGTCGCTTTGGATAAAAGTGTCTAATAAATGACTAAATAAATAAATAAATAATTAAGGATTCATACTAGTAAACAATGCTATATTGCCCAATTGAACTCATTACATAATTAATTAACTTTACTTACTGAACAGAACTAATAATAATTGTGTGAACAGTAGTTAGGTGGTAGATATTTATATTTCAGTACTGTAGTACATTATAAAACAGTATGCAATAACAGTGAGTTTAATTGATCATACTTACAGATTACAGACTTACAAATGTTATTAAATTAATGCCACTTTATTGGGACAAAACCCTCCCTATACCTCCGCTAATCACCTAATAACACTGTATTATTAATGAGACGTTTTATTTCCTATTTTCAAATATTTACTTTATTTTTATTGAAAATAAATGCCTTGCTGATCTGATATGTCTATTTGTCCTTTCACTCCGTTTCTTTTTAGAGCTAGGAATTGAATTTTGTTTCCATAATTGAAATATGATTTAAATTTATATTTATATTACTGCAATATTTTTATTATTCAATATCTTTGAAATAATATGTACTGTATAAACCACTATAAACCAGATAAAGGTGACGTCCTTTGACTTGAGCGGAAACGTGCTGTAGAGATTAAAGTACAATTTATGTCCTACTTACATATAACATGTATATATGTACAAAAGTGTTACATTTATAATTACTATTCCCCGCCTCCAGTTCACTCACGCGTTTGAAGATGAAACATTACATGGAGCGCGTTGCGTTCTGGGAAACAGTATCCCATGCAGTGTCTTCAGACGCATAGCCTACATCAAATTTCAGCAAATGTAGCAGCCAGGTAATCCGGACATTCCATGCATACAGAACATTCACTTACTATTCACAGTACACACACAGCGTACTGCAATATAGTAGGAGTTGTATGGTAGTATTCCATTCCGAACACAGCTTCTGTACTGATTTCAGTGTTCTTGAGTTATATTCAGCAGATTCTGGGAAATATAGAAGGTCATCCGGGTATTTCATGCATACAGAAAATTTGCACACTATGCACAGCATACATACTGGATACTGCAGAAATTTTAAGAGTAGTAGGATTGTATGGCATTTCGAACACAGCATGAGTGTCAAAAGTAGCGCACCGATTATTGGTGGAAGAATGCACAAATCTAATCGGAGACATCATGATTCGTACCAATCCGAATCTCCGCTTGC